TCAGGGAGTCCTTGTATCTCCTCTTTGGGGCTCCTCTCATGCGGCAGCTGGTGGCAAGTTCACCATCAACGCTGCCTTTGTACAATCCTAAACATCCACTGGTCAGATTATGTGACCAATACGTCTGTTCTAGAACAAGCAGCAGTCACAAGTATTGAGGCCATGTTACTGAGAACACAGCTGCGCTGGGCAGGGCACATCTCCAGGATGAAGGACCACCATATTGCCCTAAGGGCAATATGTCAAGTCTCAGTTAAAATTACATATTCTCCTAAATTTATATAAAAATGTTTTCTTGGATTATGTAATGTGTAAACCCAATTCCCTAAGACATGAATATGGTACTAGCAGTTCATTATTTGAGATTTGTGTTGTGGACCATTCACAAGCAGTCTGTCTGTGTAGTACTCTGAAGCATTTTTGTAGCACTGTGAGATAATCAGAGAAGTGCTGTGGTGGTGGTGAGCCCCAGCCTTCAAAACCCACAAGTGAAAGAATGAGATTGGAAATCATCTTGAGAACAGTCTATTTGCAAACATTTTATTCCTACTGAATTTATTCCTTTTTTTTTTTCTACGCAAAATCCTTACCCTCTACTGCTTTGGGAGTTAGTTGTCAAAGGGCAGACTGGCCTCGAGACTTAATACCCTGAAGAGAGGTAGGAGTGACATTTGACAGGAACTGGGCAACAGGAAAAGTAGGGGAAAAGTGTATGAGGACAGACCAGGATACAAAGGGAAGAGTCTGGGCTCTGTGTCATGTAGGTGACTCTGGGAGAATTGTAGGGTAGATGGGCAGATATTGGAGCAGGTGGGAAAAGCATGTCCAGGCCAGAGAAAGAGTAGGACAAAGGCAGGAATGAGCAAAGGATGAAGAGGAGACACAATATCTGAGCCCCACTACTGAGTTCAGGACTTGATTGCACTGCGCGTAAATACGTCTGAGCCCCCTTGGCTGCACATGTGTGTCACACTGTCCACTGCCTTTTTCTCAGAGGATGTTGGCTGGCTACAGCAGCTGTGTTTAGGGCAGCAGCAGTGCCTGTGCTGAGCTCTGCTGCTGGTCCATCTGAGGCCATGGCTACTCACACCAGGAAAAGACATTGGCATTGCAAAACAAAATGTTCAGGTGTTAAAGATCACCAGCATGAGGGTTTCTGATTAATAACACGTCAGGCTATTTATTTTTTTTCCCATGGGATGCCTTATTTTGGCTTCTGCGACAAAGGAAGCTACAGCCTGCAGGGCTTTTGTCTTTCTGTCTGCAGAAAGTAGGGAATGCAGACCTCAGAGTGATGCTGTCAGGGGGTTCCTGGGGTGACCAGAAATTAAAGATTTTGAGCTGAGGTGGGAAGAGACACAGGCCCCCAGCCCAAGTCTGAGTGATTTCTCAGGACACTATAGTGAAACCAGGGAATGAAAGAGGGGAGTTTGAATGAAATGCTGACTGAAGTCATCCCAGCAACGCCTGCTGCACTTTGAAGACCTTTAAGGTCTCAGCAGATGCTGCTGAGAAGGACTTACCTGGTATACGAGAGAATCCTCAGAAAGAGAGTCCAAAGCTTAAGACAGACAATGCTGCCCTGGAGTACTTGGATCACAGCCCGGTCTCTGCTACAGCATTGCTCAGTAATATTATTGATTGATTTATTTATTATTTTTGTCACAGTGACAGCTAATTGTTCATTCTTTGTTTTCTGGCTCTCATTCTGCATTTTGTTCTGTTCATACTCTATTTGCACTATTCCAGGACGTGTTTCTTCCTTGGCTGTGGGGTAGGGAGGGAAAGAAGAGAGCAGCTTTTCCTCTCCTCGGAGGCAGCTTGCTGTCCCTGGCATTGTGCCTGGCGTGCTGAGGCACTGGAGACGTGACTCGCTCCTGCTCCCTCATGAGCCCTCTCTGCTCAGCTGGAAAACATAATGTGCCCAACCCCAGAGCTTTCTGTGAGCCAGCTGTGCCACCTGAGTCTGGTTAGCAGGGACTAAAGGGTGCTCAGGTAGCTGAAGTCAAAATCAAGTCCATGATCAGCTTCTTCTCCTTTCAGTTTTACAGATGGTTCATAAAGCACTTCCCATCAGTGTTTTATGGTTCTATGCCACCAAATCTGTTGTTTATGTATCTCAAATGCCTTGGTGGTGGGGTGTTGAAAAATAAAATAATTGTTCTATAGCAGTTTATTCCCTTTTAATAATGATTAAAGTATTCATCAAAGTAGTTCCACATTAAATTTGCTCTTTGCACAAAATCTCCAGGGGCCCCTCTTGAATTTGCCAAGTGTGAGACACTCATTTTGCCTAAACATTTTCTGTCAATGACACTGTTGTTATCGGCAATGGGGGTAGCTATATGTACCTAACACTTTCTGTTTCTGATCCTGTGTCCTTATTTATGTAAATATATAAGTAGCAACATGGAACTAGGGTTTGGAAACAATTGCAGTATCCTATTTTTACAGAAAATTAGTCAACTGGTATAAATTGATCCACCATCATGGACTTCAGTGGATCTATTTCAGACTCCAGCAGCTGAATATTTAGCATGTAGTAATCTCATTGAAAATCAGTGGATCTGTGGATGATACCAGGCTATAAGCATTTGTTTCAACACTTTCATTACTCCTAGTGAAAGGGATTACAGAGGCAAAGATGTAAACTATGAATGGCTACTCTGCTGAGATGAGCAACAGGTAGAGATAAAGCTATAGGGGCCTATAAGGCCCCTGATCTCTTGAGCTAGCCTCATTAACACAGTGAACGGAAATTATTTTTCATTTGTCAAGGTGAGAATGGAATAATTCAGTCTTCCTGAAAGACACCAGTGGCTAGGAAGTGAAAGTAGGACTTCGGGCTTTGTGTGGACCAACATAACGAACATTTTCTCATCTCACCTCCAGAAAAAAAAAAAAGAATATATGTCTACTTAGTATCAATTTTTTACTAGTGTGTCTTAAAAGCTACAATTGGATGTATTTGTTTTCTCACGAGTTTGATATTAAAATAACAAGAGATCTCCCTGACCATGTATGTAGTCAACCTCCAAACTATTTGGGGTTTTTGGGAGTAGAAGGGGATTAAGGGGAAAGGAAACAAAGTCAGTGTGCATTCCTGACACCTGACAGTCAGTAAAATCTGAGGGGTGGATATGCCATGCCTACTTCAATGAATGCAACAAATGACATATTTACAAAGGCTGTATTTGCATGAAGGCATGTTTGAAAAGAACTTAAAACATCTAAACCCTATTTAGAAGATGACTGAAAAGAAGGAAGAGAGTTTGATATAGCAATGTTTCAGAAAATAAGGCAGAAGCAATGTTTTCTTAATTCTGGGGATTAGCAATTTAATTAGCTCAATCTTTAGTGCAGGAAATTACCTAGTAAAAATGACACTAGTTAACATTTGCAGGGCGCTTAAAGTATTTAAATGAGGAAAGGACAGATTGTCAATGACATTTATATGTCTACTAGATATACTTTTTTCTCTAGATGACAATTTTTTTTAAGCTTATGCTATTTGCTTCCAAAGGTTAAATGGGAGTTTATTTACTATGGTAATATTGAGAGGAATACTTTTATTCATCTCAGTGCCCTTCACTAATACATACAACTGATCTCTAATTTCCTGATACTGTCATCTTGTTCACTGAAGACTGTGTCAAGATGAAAATAATGTGGCTTTCTATGCGATGTGGAATGTGATCTTTGATTAAGACACAATTTTGATCTCAGTTACCTAAATATCATCTTTTTGTCATACTGATTTTATGACAGGATGGTAGGTCTAGAAGCCCAGTCAGGCCATCCCCAAAAATTAACATGGTGAAGAAATAGACTGAAAGAGCTTGAATCAGCTGTATGTGGTAAGAACCAAAAAATTGCCTTGGGAGATAGAACTTAGTCAAGTGTTTCTCCATAGAGATCACATTTGTCCATGAGAAGACATAGTTTCAAGGTTATGTTTTCAAACAGCTGGCCCGTGGGTTCACTGACATAATTAAAAATTTATTCTCATTGTACTGTGTAAATGTTTCAGTTTCCCTTCAGATCAGACAATCTTGTTATCGTCCTTAATGATAAATAGACACAGAGGGTTTTTTTAATTTGCTTTCTTTGTATCGAAGTGATTTTTTGTGCTGAAGGTAATCTGAAATAGAAACGTACTTTTAAAATATGATTTAAACCAAAATCCTAACACTTCTGTTTTTCAAAACAGCTAGTTGTTTGTAATTATGCCATCCTACTGGTTTGCTAAAAATGCTTTCTTCTCCTCAAACAAAAAAATAAAAGAAATAAAGCAGAAAACAAGTCCTGAAGCAGATTTCACTTAAATGTGGAAAGCTAAAATCAACTTAAAAAAAAGGAGAAAAAAAGAAACATTAAACGTATTCCCATTCAAGTAAAGTTATGCTTTCTCTGGGACAATAACAACGGAAAAATTAAAAGACAAGTATATTTTGTATGATTTTTTTTCCTTTAGGCTTACTTTCTTCTATCTGCACTCCTTTAATGTGATGTGATTTTAGCTTTTACTGTATGGTGGTTTTTTCTTTCTTTTAGTGGCTCAGCAGTAAGAATGAAGGATTGGAAATGGGACTCATACACAACAAAAGCACTCTATTGAAAAAGACCCATGGTTGTTGTTTTCTTCTTTTGCTTTTCCAAAATAAAGCTTAAAAACATCTGTCCCATGATCAGTCATTACAGCTTTTGTATTATTTGGTTCCGTATTGTACATAAAACATTCACTGGTACGTTAGTGGAGAACATGTCTTGTTGTCTCCTCTGTGCTCAGCTCAGCCAGTGCAGGCTGCGAGCACCCAGTTTACTCACACACTTGGGTCTTCACAGCTCTTATGTGCTGAAAAGCTCCCAGGGGAGATGAGCCCAGCCTCTGAGGTGCTAAGATTTGGTCTTGACCCTTTTAAACTCTAAATATGGGGCTTTAGATAAAACCTGTAGATGTCTAACATTTTCTTCTTTATTTTTTCCCCTTCCAATTTTAGGCTTACTTTAACCTTATCCTGTCCCATGGACCTGAAGAATTTTCCTATGGATGTGCAGACATGTACAATGCAGCTAGAGAGCTGTGAGTATCCAATTGCTTTATCTATCAAATAACATGATTTTACCCTAACATTCGGAGGTTAGATAGTATCTATGTTGTCACATTTATGCGATGAGACTCAATATTCCTAATTTGTATGGAAAAAATAATGGAGGAACAGTGCTTTAACTATTTATCACCATAACGTGTGGGTCCCCTGTTTCTGTGCTTTTCCTGGTCCCTTCCTTTTCCTCTCCTGGGTCATATCACCTCACCCATCAGGGCTGCATCACTTCCAGGGGTAACCACAGCAATGCTACATGGTAGAAATTTTTAAATCTTCGGAAAGTAAGAGCAATTTGTACATAGCCAGGGATTCACTATGTCCCATTGAGTTAGGTTGTAGTCTTTTGAAAAATGACCCAATGAAACAGGGGTCCTATTAATATACTTAACGTGGTAAGCTAAACACAGCCAAAGCATGGACTGGAGTATCAGCACACACCACAGCACTGTTTCAACTCGACCAGGGAATAAACAGGCAAAACCAGGACGGGCTCAGACAATGTCATGTACCAGTGATCATTCCAAATATTCAGTAGATACCAGTCCATCTTGAGGGTTTTTTTGTAGGGAGGGGAGAAGGGGTTTAGCTGTGTGAGTATGAACTGTGGGCTGCCACATGATTTTGTGCCCACAAAATCACAGAATCATAGACTGGTTTAGATTGAAAGGGTCCTTAAAGATCATCTAGTTCCAATCCCCCTGCCATAGGCGGGGACACCTTTCACTGGACCAGATTGCTCAAACCCCATCTAACCTGGCCTTGAACACTTCCAGGGATGGGGCATCCACAGCTTCTCTGGGCAACCTGTTCCAGTGTTTCAGCACCTTCACAGTAAAGAATTTCTTCCTAATGTCTAATCTAAACCTACCTTCTTTCAAGTTTGAAGCCATTACCCCTTGTTCTATCACTACGAAAAGGCCCATGTCAAAAGTCCTTCTCCAGCTCCCTTTAGGTACTGGAAGGCTGCTCTAAGATCTCCCCAGAGCCTTCTCTTCTCCCGGCTGAACAACCCCAACTCTCTCAGTCTGTACTCATAGCAGAGGTGCTCCAGCCTTCTGCTGGAGCAGATTATTTTTGTTCCCCTCCTCTAGACTCACTCTAACGGGACTATGTGCTTCTTACACTGGGGGCCCCAGAGCTGGATGCAGCACTCCAGGTGGGGTGGAGTAGAGGGGGGCACTCACCTTCCTTGACTTTCTGGTCATGCTGGTTTTGATGCAGGCCAATATACAATTGGCTTTCTGGGCTGCAAGCACACACTGCTGGGTCATGTCAAGCTTCTCATCCACCAGCACTCCCAAGTCCTTCTCCCCAGGGCTGCTCTCAGTCCACTCTCCACTCAGCTTGTACTTGTGCTTGGGATTGCCCCGATTCATGTGCAGAACCTCAGACTTGACCTTGTTGAACTTCATGAGATTGACACAGCTTATTTAATTTGGCCATGAAGATGTAGCAGTACAGTCAAAAAGACACTTCAGTGAGTCGATGCCTCTCTTTTCCCTCCACATCTCTCAGTGATAGGTTCACAGGTTTACAAAAGTTGCCATTTTCTTTTCAATAAGGGACTAGCATTCTGCAGTCTATAAATCCTTGTTTTTTTGGTGCACACCAACTCCATCATCAAATAATGATGAAAATAAAGCAAAATGCAGGCTTATACATAGACACAGAGAAACTTCAATTCAGGTGTAAACAGCATCTTGTATGGGCCAGCAAAATTACTTTTTAGAGGCAAACCAGGGCAATATTTCAGAACATAATGGTGTTTACTTGTCACTTTTAATAAAGTAATAGTGCGGTAATAGCGCGGTAATAGCAACTGGCAACTAACAGGAATAGTGCTATTGTTAATCATACAGTTTGAAAATATAATTGAGATAACATATATTGTAATAAAAGACATGCTTCTCAGACATAATAACATTGGCTTTTTATGTTTTCCGGTCAGCTGTCATCTAATAAACTCTGATTTCTTTTTTGCAGTTGGATATACTATGAATGATTTGATATTTGAGTGGTTAAGTGATGGACCTGTGCAAGTAGCAGAGGGTTTAACCTTGCCACAGTTTATTTTGAAAGAAGATAAAGAACTTGGTTATTGCACAAAGCATTACAACACTGGTGAGCATTTTTCTATTTTTTTCTATCAGTTGCTCCAGTGGTATATATTGTCAGTTTTTAAAGGGAAAATATGGGTAAAATGGAAAAAAAAAGAAATTGGAATTAAAATTTAAATCAGCCACGCATTTTTAAATTTGAAAAGAAAGAAATTTTCTCCTTTTTATTTTTGTTTGAAAGATTTTCTTTCCAAATTTTCTTTAATTTCATTAAAGGTATTCTAATATCCTTAAAATCATTAAAGAATTTAAAATCTTTAAAAAATCTAGTTGTGTTGATATCCTTAAAATGAAATTTTTTAACAAACTAACTCTTTTAGTAAATATTGATGAATCACTTTAAAGTAATGATTTTTCTGAACCTGATTTATTTCTCTAGCATTTTAAATTGCCAGTGAGAAAAAATATAAAATTTTCACCAGCTTTTATGTGTGGTCTAATTTATGAGATGTAGTATGTGAAACGAGAATGTTTTCATTGCTGATCTGAATAGTGTACAGATACGAAATGTTGGGAAATTAAATTTTTGTTTAATACTCTGTTGTTTTTTCTTGTTAAGAAGTTTCTAATTCTGTGTTTTCTATCTTTAGCTTTACAGAAAAGAGAGGACTCTGTAAAATTTTGATTTAGCTGCTTGGAGTTTATTTAATAGGGACAGCATTTAGAGAACAGTTTTCTGGGTGCTTTCTGAGATTAAATATAATCCTTCTCATCTAAAATAGCTTTTTCATCATTTCAGCATAGGAGCCGATCTGGTTGCATCAAATATGTTTGTTTCACTCTGTGAATATTACAATGTGAGAGGTACTGCCTCTACTAAAAATAAAGTCACATTTACTTCTTATGAAAAGAAAACTATTGTTTTTAATTTTTATAAATGCAGCTTCTCATTTTAGAGCCCAAAGTACCAAGGAAGGAAAACTTTTTGATTGACACTCCCATTACTCTCTTCTCTGTAGTATGCTCCTTCAGGTTTGGTGTGAAATCAAAATACTGATAAAATCTATTGCTGAGCCTTGTCATAAACTCACTGTCCAGGCTGTGCTTCAAGAGGCTGGAGAGCCTTTGACATACTGGGTTACTCTCATGCCGTTGCTGTCACATGGGCAGACTGGTCAGGAGCAGCCACTACCCAGGTCTCAGCATTTGCCTTTTGAGTCACAGGTCCGGTCACTCATTTTAGAACTTCTGTCCTGCCAAAAGATATTATTCTGTTTGTCTCCACTCCTCTCTTTGTCAAACAGCTTCTGCATTCTCCTTTGTGCCAACTCTTGCTGTTCAGCATTGTAGACTAGCAAAAAAATACAGGTACATCACAAAAAGGAGAAAACAATCTAATTTCCCCTGAAAGGGTGAATGAGGAACAAGGTATCTTCGTGCAGTTGACCAACCAACACAAAAGGGGTCCTTTGAAATCATTAGCATGACACTTCAGGAATGACAGGCTCTTGTAGTCAGCCTGGAGAGTGAGAGACCTCACAGTATCTAAACCTCAGTAATTCTGGGAGCAGTGCAGAGTGATTGCATTAGTAACCGATGAGCTGTTGCAACTCAGGGCTCTGCATCCTCTGCTGCGCAACTAGCTCCACTGTCAGGAAACTTCTGCTCTCCACAACCGCTGTGGAGCAGCTGTCTGTTGTTCGAAGAATCACTCACCTCCCAGGAGAGATTGTTTTAGGTTTTCTGAAGTCAGAATTTTAGCAAAATTCAAAGTAGAGCTTGAGTTGATTCTGCTGTGAGACATAATCCACAGACACAGGCAAACGACATGAGCAGAATGAGAAGGAGTGTGATCTACCACAGGACTGTAACACTGGCAGTTCACTATTTGTCTGTTCGAATATGGCTGCTTAATCTGGTGTCATTAAAAGACCAAAATGCTGTCCCCTTTTAATACTAAACAATATAGTTGACTGAAGTAAAAGCTCACTAAATTTAGTGAGAAAAGTAACATTACGTTATATTGTCTGGAGGTACAACAATTGTGATAATATTAATTTTCTCAGTTAATAGAAAGAACTGGGCACAGATTGCTTCAGTTGTGCCATGCTTTCCCCAAGCTAGCATGCAACAAGTGGTTGACTGGTGTTTGTGTATCAGGAGCTGCTTCTGGTGTTAGGTTAGGGAACAGGCCATGCATCTAATTTATATTCAGAAAACAAGATAAAAATGTGCAAAAAGCATTTATTAAAGTAATTTCATGTTCTAGGAAAGTTTACATGCATTGAAGTCAAGTTTCATTTGGAGCGTCAGATGGGATACTATTTAATCCAGATGTACATTCCTAGCCTGCTGATTGTCATTTTATCCTGGGTTTCTTTCTGGATCAACATGGATGCTGCTCCAGCCAGAGTTGCACTGGGTATCACTACAGTTTTGACAATGACCACACAAAGCTCAGGATCAAGAGCTTCCCTCCCAAAAGTAAGGAAATAATTTTGTACCAAAAATTTGTTACTAATGAGAAATATTTGTGCTACTTTTTCAAGTTTCTGAAAGGTCTGTGTAAATATGCATCTGATAAGGATACATGAGAATGGGGTAACAGTGTGATGTGAAACTGTTGCAATACCCTTGTATTTGTATTAGCACAAGTTGCTGCTGTTTTGTGGGAGGGTTGGACAGTTCAGCAGTATGGATTTTTAATGAGCTTCCACTAGCTTTAACACTTAGTTTTCAGCATTTAGAAACCAGATTTTCTGAAGTATTTAGATACTTGACTGGATTTCTCTCAGACTGGGGACTTTAAAAACATGGTCTGATCTTCTCTGGACTGTTAGATTTTCACATATCTTGATGTTTCTAGATATGGCACTTAGCCCAATGGATATATAAAAATACCCCTCAAAAATATATATAGAATACATATTCACGGCTGGGCTTCGCGAACGAAGATTTGGGAAGGCTCTATCCACATTTGTTACAGGCACATTGGTGACTTATGAGGCCAATACGAGACAGACATATCTGATTGCAAAAGGCACAGCAGAAAGACTCTTTAGATGGTATATTCTGCAAAACACGGTTCTTTCTGCGTTGCCTTTTCTCCTCGAGAGTGATCCTGCGTGTGTTCTCAAAGGAGACAGCTGCATTATAGATGGTGTGTCTCCAGGCCTCCCGATTTGAGGCCAGAGTACATACACATATATGCATATATATATGTATATACATATAGAATACATATATATAGCATGCGTACACCTAGAAGATTTCTCTGGAGAACCTTTTCAGTGCAGAACTGATGATGTCTTTGTTTCATGGCAGAATTTGTCCATGTGCTCATTCAAGTGTCATCTGAAGATCTTCATCCTGTCTATGCACAAAAATATCCTCTCATTCAAATTTTGTGGTCTTTTTAATCCTGACCAGATGCTGTAGATGGATTTACCGATTACAGACTAGGTTCTTTGTTTAGTCAGGCTGACAGCTCATTTCAACAAAGGCACAGCTCAAATGCTTCTGATGATAGCATTCCCAGCAGAATTTCACATGCGTGCTCAGGTTTCATACAATTTTCTTGAAGGGAGCTCAGAGGTAGGTCAGTTTGCAACAGTCTAAGGAGTTATGAGATATACTCCCTGAAGAGTAATTTTACAGCATCACTGGGACTGGGGTCATAGCATCAAAAGCACAAATTTTGAGTGTTTGTATCATGATCCATTTCAAGAAATCAGTATCCCATTTAGTCTCATTCCAAATACTGCAATTTGTTCAAGTGGAGCACAAAAAGGGCAACTTCAAAAAGAGCACAGATTATGTTACTCTTGTTAGTAATGAGAAAGTATCACTTAAAAATCTGGTGACTACAACATTTGGTTCAGCTTCACTTGTTTATTTGGAAATATGTATAATTTTCCATGCAAACTAAAAGCCTTTCAAATATTAACTTAGATTTTCAAATGGAAAATTTATTAAATATTTATTCAGACAATTCAGTCAATATTATCAGTGAACATTCTGAAAAGAAAGTCTAAAAAGAGATAATCTTGGCAAGGAGCATATAGGCTCTGTAGCTAATGAGTTTGGAGTCACTGAAGACTATGTCTAGATCGTACAATATGACTCCATGTGATATATTCCAAGTTTCTTACAGATTAGCTGGCTTAAGAATTCTAGATAGTACAGCCACTGTAGTGCAGATTTCCACCCACATGTCCTACTGTGCAAGCTTACCCTGAAAAGAGGCGCTACGGTGTTAGCATGCCCCAAGTATTAAAGGTTTAGAAAGAGTTTTTATCATAGCCTTTAATGCAACTGAAATGTTTTCCCTTTTGCATTCTCTCTTGTTTGAGTAGAAAAATATTTGCTGAGTGGGAGAAATGGGAAGACCAAAAAAGTATGTTGACTGTGGCTATTTGATTATCAGAGTGGTTCTTCTCCAGCCTCAGGATTAACTACATTTATCTCAGCAGCAGTCAGAGAACAGGGATACTCTGACCATACTCCATCTTCTGTTCTGCTGTGTTCCTTTGCCAACACAGGCACTAAGAGGAAGTATCTCATCAGAAAGCCCAACACACTTATTATAGTCAGGCTGCACCTGGCTGTTGCAATTTCACTGTGTGATTCAGCTGAGTTGTATTTTATAGCTTTGATGTCTATATGTTAGTTAATCCTTGTGGGGACTTTTGAAGGTGCATCAGTTGACTTGAAAATGTGGTTCTAGGTAAATGCTTCCTTTTCTGCTACCTTTTCTACTCCCACCTCGGATGACACAGGCTCTTGAAGAAACATGGGCACCATACAGGTCCCATATCACCAATACCTGATTCCTTACTCACAGAAGCAAGCTTTTCTTGCTATTGCTGTTGCAGGCACTTAGCTGTTTTAAAACCTTATTTGTAATTTAATACCAAAATTGCATTTTATAATTTATGTAATAAAATCTGTCCAGCTGAAATGCATTTAGAAATAAAATAAGAAAAGAATTCAATCAAATCAGTGTCAAGTCTGAAAACTCAAAATGCCTCTTTAAAAGTAATGTTTTTTAAAGTCCTGTCTACATATTGCCAAGACACAGGAAGTTAGGCTGCCAGTAAAATATCCATTTAAAAATTGCTCTAAGCATGAATATCTAACAGAATAAGATATGTCAGGAGAGTTATTTTTGCAAAAATACTGAAAAAAATGATGCAACTTTGCTTTGTAAAAGCAGCCTAGGTTTGAATACAAGAGTTATAATTTCCTCATCCTTCATGTCCTGTTCTTATTAACAAAGATTCGTGCAGTTTAACTTTACCTTTAATTTACCCAGTCTCATGCCAAGACTTTCATTCTATTCTTTTCTATTTTCATAGACTTTTATCACAAAAAACAACAAAGCATCAAAACTCACCAGATTTAAAGGAAATAATTCCTTTACCTAAAGAAAATAAAGAATTGTGATAAGATTCCTTGGATTTTTTTGCCTGTTTCCAAGTTACTATCTAAATGACTAAGTGTTACTGTTTAAAAGTAATTACCTACATATTGTTCTCAACCCTGTTATAAGATAGCATGACAATGTTCTGTTTGTTTAAAAACTGCTCTTTTCCATATTAATAACTAGCATTCATTTTGATACAGAGATTTCGTAATAGTAGGTCATGGCAACACAGACATTAGGCACTCTGTTGTTGAAAATTAAACATAAGATTGAGGCTGCTGTAAAGAAAAGAAAATAAAAGACAATGAAAGACTGAAATTAATTCCATCTGAGGCTCATATTTGCTGCACATAAGATAATCATTTAGAAAGCTTCTTCTAAGTCAAATATAATTATATTTCTTTTGTAAATGTTGTAGTATTTCTGTGAAATCACTATATTTTTAGTATTTTGAAATTCTGGCTAAGATTATGGGGTCAAATTCCAATATTAGCAGCATAGTAATAAAGAAATCAATATGCTTTTTTTATTATTATCCTGTGAAGTTGATTTCTTCCTCTACCAAAGACAGGAATAAATCATGAGACAGTTAACATGACAGCAAAGCTACTGTTCTAGGAAGGGTGACCTGCAGTGCCTGTTTCAGAATGCAGAAAGGTTCTCTTCCTCCATAGTTTTAGCGTAAACTGAGCAATAGTGCACCGTGCCTCCTTTATGGACATGAAATAATAATTTTCTGTGTAGGGAGTATCATTGAGAAATAATCACTGTGGTGCCAATCTCTTTTAAAGTGATGAAATTATTTTGTGATTGTTACAGAGGAGTCCTGTAACCAGATTTACCCTAGCTGGCTGTGTTGGGGAGTGGTAAGGAACTCACCCACAAAGCTGAGATGGAATACCCTCCCTCCAGTTTGGCTGATTCATCTCTGGGATTCCCAGGAACGGTGATCCAAAATAGCAGGGTTCCTGTGATCGGTTCCCACACTTTCATATGTATAAGTCTTACCCTAGTCTGACACTCCATGTCTGAATTCCTCTGACTGTGTCATCACTTTCCACTTGGAAACTTTGGCTGGGTAGAGGTTTGTGCACCCGGCTACACCAACGGCTCTTGCCCATCAGCCAGCTAAGCAGAAATCCTGGTTTCCAGCTGGGTGATCGGTGTGACCACACATCTGTAATGAAATCCTCGAGAATCCCTGAGCTTTCTGTGCGAGACTTGTGCATGAGCCAGGGAGATCCCTTGCACCCAGGGTTTGCTGGACTTCATCTGTGCAGAGATGTCACACAAATTAGGAATCTCATGTAACGGACCATACATCCATGCTTTTTGGAAGTATGAGACCCATGGACTGAAACAGCAACATGCATTCATCAAAATATGGACTGAGGATTGTCTGGGCATCATAAGGGACACCTAGACATTGAATATGTCTTTACGTATTTTATGGTCCCAGCTACGTGTAAGCTGAGGGTGTAAAGGGGAGGATGTCAAGGTCCAGTGCAGAATTGTTGAGGTGTTACAAAACAATTCTTCAAAGCATTGAAGGACCATTTTCATGCTATTCTGTTTGTTTGTAAATTGCTCTCCTTCAGTTGAATCAACAGAAAAAAAGTTTTAAAGCATTTTCAAAAGAAGCATTTGAAAGAATAATGAGTTCTCTGCTGTGCTAGTTGTGCATTTTTTAGATTGTTTTCTTCTTAAAACACTTATATAAACCAAACCTTAGCAACAACAGTCCAAGGAAATGAATTACTTTTAATGCCATAGAGCAAAACATTGGAGGATATTTTAAGTCAAGTGAGTGATAGCAACTGTATTTTATGTAGTTGCAAAGCATTCATACTGTGTTACCTTAATGCACAGTGCTTAATGAATGCATGTTTTTTCCCCAGGGAACAATCCGTGCAGAAAAAAAGTCTCGTTCAAAGCTCACCAAAACCTCTGGAAGTCCTTCCATTCACTTCATTTTTTTTGAATCACTAAATGCATTACCAAATGCAATAAAAGCATTATATTCTTTATAAAAACATTAATAAGTGTAGAGACTTGCAGA